TGTTGCTCTCTAATGACAAATTTTAAATAGCAGAAATTCTTTTATTAGCAATAACGAGTAGAAGATTTTCTGAAAGCTTGTACCAAAACCGTGAATGTGCAGATTTTCACTGTTTCTGCAGTAAAGTACGCTGAACGTGATTAAAGGAGGAGGGGACAATAAAAAATTGTTTTATAGTTAAATTTCAGTTTGACGTAAAGGCTGATATTTGCGAGAAAATTGGGAAAATTGTCTGATCACGAATTTTACGTTCAATTGCAAATTTCTATAATTTATAATTTAACAATTTCACAAAGTTTACAATATAATTTTGAATTTCTAAGTTTCATAACTGAACAAAATTTATAATTTAATTAAAAGTTTTTGAACTTTACGATTCAGCGAAATAATCATTTCTCCAATTGCAGATTCACGGTATCGGTGTAAGAAGGAGAATATCAGTTTGTGTTAACGAGTGTTTACTTTTTACTTGAAATTCATTTGTTGTTTAACAGGAACCATGCTGTGCGGTGAACGAAGTGGTATCGATTCTTAACGTAATCGACACAGATCCCGATAAAGCTGCGGTTCTTCTCGAGGAAGATCGTTTCTGCGACAGTACATCCTCGCATGATCAATTAACCAGGCTGGCCCTGACAATTGAAACAGACGCAAACGTGCCAGGAGTCCTCGACGATCCGGAAAATTTAGTTCAACATCTTCAAAACAAAGTGAAGAAACTTCAGGCCAGTAGCAAGGATATTTATAAGGATATATCGAATCTTCGAAAAAGTTTTCAGGTAATAATTTTGAAAGTTCAAACTTTCGCCGGAAATCTTCTTCCTTATAATGCAAAAGTTCGGACAATTCTTTAAAACAGTTCAAGCGATGTGAAGTACGTACATTAAGCTTTCTACACTGAAATTTTCAAGAATACGAAATTTTAATATTGCGAAATTTTTACGCAACATTCTGTTTCTCCTACTCTTTCTCACTCTTCGAGAAGATTTTAATATTTAGAAATTTTTCTGAATTGCAGTAAATCGACGAAGAATTTCCAAGTACACGAGAGATCGAGAAATAAATTCGCCAATAGCAGGATATTTGTTAGGAATTGGGTTTATGACATGGACGCCTGTTTACGCTATTTTTCAATGCGCCCCTTTTCTTCTTCGCGTTAATTAATTTTTCTTTCAAATTGCCCACGAAGCCCAGGAAGCGTTTTATGGCTGGAGAAAAAAAACTTTTCTGCGGGCCATATACCTTCCCGGTGCCCACTCGTGAACATTCAATAGACATAGACATGTCGTAAAACCTCTCGCGTCTCCCTGACCGCCCAAAGTCGCGGGCTACCCCTTGGGCCTCACTCCCCCGCCATCGCGACATACCACCATCCTGCCAACTTGGAAATTCCAGGGTGGACGGCATGCTCGCGGGCCAGGGAGGACCGTCCAAGGGGGTAGACCCGTCCTGATTGGCGGAAACCACCACCTTGTACCCGTACACCTATTTATAAATAAGCGCACCAACGCAGCAGAAAGACAGATCAAAAAGGGAGAATAGACAAGTAGCACGTAACGTACACACACCTCATAAAATTGTCACTTTGCAACATAAAGCCTTTGTCTTACAACATATTAAAGTACGTGCAAACTCTAAGTCACCACGACTTCACACCAAGAACCAGCGACAATCCTGCGGCACCACTCGCGAGCATACCGCTTGCTCGAAGCGCACGACGCAACAATATTTATGTAGATTTTCGCATAATTGACCTTTATAAATAATTTTTTCGATTTTCTTCTCTTCGTGCAAATTATATATGAAAAGTAGGACGATTTTCAATACGCAAGTAAAATCGTCCAAAGCAGTAATTTTCAAGCTATTGCCAATAGAACTAGTTAAAAATTTTCAAACGTGAATTTTCTTATCGTTCCAGTGCGACGAACAAAAAATGGCGGATCTCTCGTCTAACGCGAATAAACTGCGACAGGATGTTCACGAGCTGCGATACCTCGACGATCTTTTGAATCTCCTACGTGGAGAGCTGGAAAGAATCTCGAAAAGGAATTGGCCATTCGTTATAGGGCGTAGAGGTGATGATTTAGAGGAAATGAATCTCATCGTGTGAACTATCTACAGTTCGTTCAAGTGGTATCGGTGACAATTTAATAAATAAAACAAAAAGATATATAAAAATATTTCGAGATTGGCCACGAAGCAATGCCTTGTAACACGAAGAAACATAGTTTCCTTAGATATTCTTATAACACGTACGCAAGTTAAGAGCGTTTCACTGCCATTATTAATTCACCGTAAGGTGAAATTGCAAGATGAATTTGCAGAAAATTCACAGAGTTGTCGAAACTGCGTGATCGTAATAGCTAACGAGATAATATCGATTTGCTTACGCAAACTGAAATAGAATTTCGGAAAATTTCGATCTTCGAAATATGTAACGTGTTACTTGACCGTTTTATCAATTTTTCTGAAGAGAAAAATTGAATATTTACATGTGAATCTTTCCCATCAGAAAAATTCAATATTTATATAAATTTTTCCCTTCAGAAGAATTGAATATTTATAAACAAATATTTCCCTCCGGGATAATTTCTTTAGAGAATGTACGATATATTTTTATATATACAATGTAAACGATCGACAGTTCTTCTCTTCTGTAATTTTACGATTTAACGAATTACTGTACAAAATCCTCGTGTTTGTTGTTGATAAACGAACTGTCGCCAGTATTAGTATTAGTAATTAAACGCGCGATATACCGCTGGCAGGTATCGTTTAATTAAAATTAATACCTACGATAGACACTTTACGAATATTAATTTAACATTTTTTTTTTTTTATAGCCTTGTTGTTTCTTCGTTGCTATTTAAAATAACGTAATTGTCACAAACATTAGCAATTGTGTATAAAATTTTTATTTAGATAGAACGCGTAGATAAATAATTACTTTAGGATTCAAGTATGTACTTAATGAAAAATTCTAGTTCAAATATCCAACCTTTTATTTATCGAATACTTAAATCTAAAACAGACTTATAATAGATAATACGAATTAATATTATTATTTAAAAGTGTAAACAAAAATTTGTAAAGTGTCGCATTATTTTTTGAAGCATATTTATGTCACTTTTAGATTTTAAACGAAACATTATCTCAACGTAGATAAATAATTTAAAAATGTTGAATCGAAGGATTTGTATTTAAAATTTCAATGTGCATGAATGGGATAAGGATCGATTAAAAGTTTCGTAAAAACTAAAAGAAAAAATAAATTGTACCCAGGCGTGCGCGAGAAACTTTCTTTATTCAATGTAACCGGCATATTATAACTTAAATCTTTGCAGAAATATATTTTGGAATTCTGTTTTGTACCATGATTTACAACTATTTTTTATTAACTAAAATCGAACATTTCAGAAAAATATAAAAAGTAATGTTCTTTTGTATCAGTGACATTTATTTTTATATTTCATGCAAACTTTCATATTCTATCGTACTGTTCAGTTGTAAAAAGAAAAAATTGCTCACAATTTACAGTAGGCGTCATTAATTTATTGAATATTTATTTTCAACACATCTCTCATTTATTCTTGGTCAGAAACAAACATGCTGCTGATATCGTACGTTTTTTTTTTTTTATTTTCTTATCTGTTATCAACAAGATGTAACATAACTCTTCTGCTCGTATTACAATTTATTACTGTGTTTTCAAATATCCAGTATCATTGTCGTTAGTTTTTAAAAACAGAACAAAAACGAACGGTGCCATATTTCAATCTGAACAATAATAGTAATTAATAATTAGTGATTAATTAATTAACTCCATGTTCTTGTGCTATTCTAAATAACAACGTTTTAACGTTTTCGATAAGCAATAATACAATTATAAATTTACTAAAGTTTATATACGCAGTATGTATACATATATAAAATTTTGATAAGAATAAAATGTTGATTGAATTTGAACGTTTTAATCAATTTCAAAGTACGTAGGTAAAACTCTAAATAATATAGTACACATTGACAACTACTTTACTATACACACGTTACTTTACTTATGTTAATTGCCAACTCAGAAATAATTCCATTCACTGTAAAAAAATTCTACGTATTTCCATGTATAGCAAAAATAAATAATTCCATACACTAAATTCCTGGAACTATTCACACAACTCTAAATTCGTCATGCCATCTAACTCTAATTTTCTGTACACTGTAATAAAGATACAGAAGTTTAAACTAGAAAAAAAAAAATGTTAATACCTTTTACAAAACATAATTTCATATAATTTACAATTGCACAGAATCTGTAACAACGAAAGATGTAACTTCTGAAGTTTATCGAACCCTCCATACACCTATTTTAACAAAATTTATACAGCGTACAATTTTCGAAAATATATTCGACACATTTTTGTTATCGGTAATTGTTAAATTTTTTTAAGCTTTCCAAGCGATTTTGGGAAAAATTGTTTTTGGGCAACTGTGCTTTGTTGAAGGAGAAAATCAACTGTTTAAAATATAAAATGTTTTATGTGAAAACTACGAATGAAAATAGGAGATACGTACTTTTTTGGATTTCTTCTTTCGGGCTCCTTACAGTAACAATCATTACATGAATAATTGACATATTACTTAAACAAATAAAATTCCTTCAAAACTCAGTGATATCCATTAAATTCTCTAACTAATTTCCCAAATGAGAAAATAAATACTTCTCATCCTCAACTTTAAGGGCTATTTTTAAAATTCCCAATAAAAAAACCACACGTGTCGAATATTTTCTCAAAAACTGCACACCTGAGATAAATTTCGTCGTAAACGTAAGGATTAACGATCTCCCTCGCGTCACATTTCTTCCAACAAACTTCAAATACACTTCTGAAAAGCGTCCATCCCTAATTCTCCGCTCCAACTTCCTTTTCATAGTATAACGCAGCTACAAATTCGATCGATTAGCGAGAAAGGGGAAAGAAGCCACTGTACACAGAACAGAGAAATTAAATAACGTCGGTACGATGTGATTGCTTGGTGTGGTGCCTTGAAGAGTCATGATAAGCGATACCGGCCCGTAATAGTTCACCATGGCGGAACATGTCGTGTGAAGAGGACAGAGAAGGCAAAGATGGTAGCGTGGGTAACAAACAACTTAACATACTGGCACTACCATCCGACGCGTAGGCTCCATTATTGGCAGAGGCGATGGAAGCGGTACACGAACTTGACGCAGCGACCAGGGCAGAGTTTGTGCTTTGATCAGCAGTTCCCAGTACGTTTGGTCCCATCAAACTTCCTGCTCAGAAATAATATAAGAATGACATAATGTTATCGGGATTAACAGAAATTCTGTGAATAATATATTACAGTAGCTCTGTAAATAATGTATCACGGTAGTTTGGTCAGTTTTATATTTACACATACAACGTATCATGTTTGATTTTCATTTTATATTTACATACTGTGCAATCTTAATGTAATTTGAATTTTTTCTATTAAGTTGCTTGCGTGAAGGGATCAATTGATGAAAAACAGATCCAAGAGTTAAACGTGAATTATGTTGTAAAATGGAAGTTTGTGCATTTTGGATTTTTACCAATGTCAGTTCAATGGAAAGTATAAAATTTTGTTTCTCCAGACGAGAATTTAGTTGAGGCTTTTTTTTTTCAAGATTTTATTTCTTCTTATTTTGTATTAATCTTTTTGCTAAATATTTGACTTCTTTTTATTTACAACGGTATTCGTCGAGTTTTCATAAGCATTAAACGCTTATGATGAAATTAATTAACAAATGAATGACAACCATTGGGATAAGAAAATGAATAAATTGAATATGAATGGTTATTTCATAAGAAACGAATAATAAGTTTAAATGCCAATTTAACGAAGGACAGTGTGTATAATGTTTCTGTTTTAAATTATGCTCGTTTCAAACAAATGTAAAACATTATCAAAAGAAAGCAAACATATTGATTAACAACTGTTTTAACATAAATACTTGTATTTTGTTTCTTGTTCAATTACATTTACAATATAATAACTAAAAATAACTTACAATCTCTTGACACATAATGATAAATAAATTAAAGAGTACAAAAGTTACATTCCAATCCTTATATATGATGTCCTATTATACATATAACTAACACAGTAAATTAATTAGAAAAAAACCGTTCTACAGTTGGAAAATTGAATACCACAGGAAGATCGATACAATGTTACTTTCTGTATCCCGTTTAAATGTCCTCGATATACCTTATCTTCCGCCGTTTTATTACCGTTATTACACGTATTCAGATTTCACGATAACATTTTCATTTAATTGCACGTTATTAAATCTTTTCGTTTTTAAAACACAGTTTATCAATAATTACGCGGCACGTTAATTTCCATTTTTAAATCACCAGGTCTGTGTGTATGAGTGTGTGCACTATTTACAATATAACGAAGGTATACAATTAACGGTGTAAAACGTTAACAAGAATAAAATCAAATTTCATGAAAATTACATCGAAACGACAACAACTTGTGCATGATAATTGAAATGTATTATAACTACTGAAAGCAGACACCTCCATCGTTTTACCATGTTTCGTACGGTAATTAAAATAAAAATAGGAAAATAAAAATTAACGTGTATGTACAAAATATTTGAAAATGAAAAAAAGAAAAAGATAGAAATATCTTCCTTTATAGCAATTTTAACCGCACGCATTTATGCATGTACATATATATGTACGTGCATACAGCTTTCTTCTCTATTGTCAAATTTTCAAAAGTAATTTGTATCAATCGTTCCTCCTCTTCTCTAGCTCAAGCTACAAAGCATTCACCTGCAAGGCTGACGTTTGATGCACTGGAACTGACAGTCGAAGCAATGGATAAGGACGTTAATGTGGAAAAATCGGCGCTCCCCGGAGCTCTTGAATGATCCGTCTTGGTCATATGCGGTTGACAAATCGATGCAAGTGTCGATCGTACGAGATCGTTATTTCTATCGGTTCTTCGGTGTCTCATATGGACACCGGGCTTATTATTGCTACCGAGTCCGAAGTGCAGGAGCTCTAAATGCCTTCTCAAATTTCGTGACTGACGCAATATCGCTCCGCATAGTGGACAAGACGTTGGCTGATCGGACATACTTCTTGCTCTGGACAACCCATCTCCTAGAATTAATTCCGTCAAATCTAAAGACATTTAGAGACACGTGAAAAAGGGTCACTGTTATAATCGATAGGCTGTTGTAATCGAACAAGCTTCCGTCCTGGGTATTACTTCGATTAAAAAGTTACACGCTTATTGTTCTGATTCTCTTACCGGTCTAAAGGGGGCGAGCGGTCGTAATTCACGACTTCGCGAAGCTGCGCTAATAATTATCAAATAAATAAGTTATGTACAATGTAGAAAAAGACGATGTACGAAAAATATTTGCAAAAGCAGCTTGAACAACTATCTATGTAAGCCTGTTTTCGAGACTTTTGTTTTCTATCAGAGAAGTATAAAGACTAATAAAATAAATCTTTGCTACTCCGTCGAGCGAATATTATTGCCCACTCTTTTATTACGTATACCATTATTAATATAATTGAAATTGTTGCCGATTTGTTTTTATTCGCTAACAAACACTATTCGTATTCTAAACAATATACACATGCCAATAATTTTAGAGAAAAGAAGAAAATGTAGAGAACCGCAAAAATAAATCGTATATGTATATATAGGAACTGAAGTTTCTGTCAATTAACGATTTTTTAAATAATTACGACATTAACGACAAGATACGCGAATTGTTTTCGTTTTTTTTTTTTTCTTATGTAAATAGAAACGATACATTTTTGTGTTTACATCTTAGTTATTATCGTTTAATGTCGCGTTTTTAAAAGATACGTATAATCGACAGAAATCCGAATTCTACTTACACGTAATGTTAAAATATTAATTCGGTACTTTATTGGCAAAAAGAAATGAGAAAAGTAAGCTACAAAGGTAGATTTGTAATTCAGTAAGTTTATATAAAACTGATCATACAGTTATTGCGTAAGTAAATATTTGAAAGATATCGAAAATTCAGAAGTATTTTGCAATATTTATACCATCACTTTTACTATGCCTAATTCTTCATCGACTGCTATTCCCATTAACCCTAAGGATACTGCTCTTACTTACTAATGTGGAAGATTTTTGCATATTTTAACATAATTTTAAACGTTCCAGATTCTTTCGTATTAGCTTCATGCGAATTAATGAAGAAAAAAAAATGTAAATCGATGAAAAAAAAATGTAAATCGATGAAAAAAAAAGTAATAAAATAGGAATATGAAATAGACTACACAAGTAATATAACAATCAATTCATCCTGACAAACTTTACAAAATAATGTCAGTCCATTTTGTTCTTAAACAATGTAAACAAATAATAGTTTAAACATAAATTCATATAAGTACATTAAAACGATAAGTAAAAAAAGATTGCAATCGCTTAAATTAAATTCGTGACATACAAGAGTGAAACGAATTGGTGACAAAAAATAAGATATTTTCTGAGTCACAATAACAGAATCGAGCGACTCTGTCCATGTCGAATCTTTGCTTGCAATTTCTTCCTGTACGTTCATCTAGCAATAGTCGGGGACGGAATGTTGCTTTGAGGCGAAACAACATTCGGTCCGTGCGATGTTGGTGAAGGAAGTGGACTGGGTTTACAAATTATTTGCTCACAGGTACTACTTCCACTATCAGTTCCATATGTCATAGATTGCTCATTGTAACTGGACAACTCGACTTCAGGCTTTATTTCTATCATCATCGCATCAGCTGGGGAACTCTGAACCGGGTTACTACTAAATCGATATTTGCAAGACGATAACAGATGTCTACGTAAATTTCTCGCTTGTCGTAACGTAGCACCACAGAGTGGACAAACGCCTGGACAATCAGATGCACCACGTATTTTAGATAAATTCATATTGCCAGTAAGTCCACAAGACGCCGTTCCAGCAGTTGTACCCTGAGTAACTAGAGGGAGTGGCATACCAGGAGGGAAGCCCATATTTAGGGGACCAGGAAATTGCGGTATATGTAGCGGAGAGTATGGCTGCATTGGCATTAATGTATGAAGATGCGATTCATTGTCCGATATTTGATCTTGATGCGGTCCTGCTTGAGAATTTTCTGTCGACACTGGCTGCGCTTCTTGAGCACGGGGCGAATGACAACTCCGATGATTTGAATATTCCAACCGATCGTTTGCTGCTAACAGACACAAACACAATATTACCATACAGGGCTGAACTGATTTTTATATCTGAAATTTCTGAATTGTTATAACATATGGTATAATCGATTAGACGCAGTTCAACCCGATTGATGGTTGTGCTTGTGTCCGTTCCAATATACAAAAACTTGGAAGAAACTTTGAACATTTATAGATCATACTCCAAAAGCATATTAATAAGTGATAAAAATAATATATCGGACACAGAACACAAGTAGTATCACATATCCAGTGTTGTAAAAATTTGTTTACTAAATTGATTATTAAATATACATTACAACAAAATGATCAAATCAGTTCAATGTGCAAGTTGTAAATTAACAAAAATCGAACCATATTTAAAATAGATAATAATGAAATGATATCTTTCATTATTTCTAAGTAAATATTAAATACAAATGTAGAACTTATATATGTATTTCTGATTAATTTGACAAATACAGTATTTATAAAGTGTACTGCTGTATATAATACTCAATATTTCTTACCTGTTTCATCACCATGTTCAGTATTATCCTCATCTTTATGATGATCATAATTAGCTGATCGATTGTTATCGCTTCCATCTACAGTCCTATTTTCGTTATCAGCGGTATTCGTATTGCGTGGCCATTTTCCAGAAGACGAGGACGATTTTCTTCTCTTTTTTCTTCGTTTTAATGGGAAATATGGACTAATTGTTTCCTTTGATAAAGCTTCATTTGCTGTTGGTATTGCTGATACAGGTACTTCTTCCCCATTCTAAATGCATTATTGCATCTTTACTTAGAAAACATACTTCAGTCAATATAGTAGGTGGTGTTAATCCATGAATACAAAGGCAGTGAGCAGCTTGCAGTAGCGAGGGTAATTGAGATGGTTCCACACTCACTTCACCACGATATACAAACTCCAACAATGATTCCAGATCATCTGCCCCTATACCAGCTAACATAACCACTGGATGTTGACATGGTGTACTCTGTTTATGAAAAATAAATTTTTTAAAAACTAAAATATTTCATAAATACAAATTGCATTTCATCACATACCCAAAGATAATATCAAATACATCGTTAAATATAGTAAGAAAAACAATATTAAAACCTTCAATAAGTCCAATAAAAAAGGACTAGCTGCACAGAGAACTATCTTATGTGCAGGAAAACTGCGTCCACCAGCAGCTAGAGTAACATCAACCAAATCGCCATGACCTCTTAATAACTGCACCGCAGAAGCCAATGATGAACTAAATTCTCCCCAGGAGAGACTATATAGTTGGCCGCTGCTTCCCATTCTAAACAATAAATTACATACAACTTAAACAAACTTTCTAGAAAATGTTGTAAAAGATATTTATGACATAGTGTACAATAGTAAATCAGTGTCTCCATATTGTTATAATGGAATTCAACAATTCATAATGTATTACAAGAGAAATAGAAAGAATTCAACATACATGTATTTATTTAACACGACAATGTGTAGAAACGAAATTAATTAAGATTCTAGAAAATTGACCACTAACGGTAACGATACGTACTCGTCTCCCCCAACCACATTCTCTTAATTAGTGCCCCCACCCCGAAAAATATGATCTCGGCGTCGTCTGAAAGTTAACCTAACAAATGCATCTAGCACGAAAAAATGATCAAAATATCAAACAAAAATACATGATTACAATCTAACAATAAATAGAATAGTTTACACACTTATAGGAGACACGCAAATTAAAAGAATTTGGTACGATGTATTTAATAAAGAATAACTCACGTTGAGTTAAAACTTATCGCTGTAAATTGTTCGTTATGTTACAGTAAACCACGTTTAATTCGTTGTTCGTACGTTATAGGAACAAGAATAATGGTTTCGTTTTCGTAATTTTACGAAGTATGCGCCCTTTTGGGCCAAATAGATACACGATTCAAAAAATGAAATTCAAATACTGTCAGAAATTATCATGCACGTCACATTTTACTAGATTGTGCTGCCACCATATTACCATTAAAAAAGGCACTCCTGATAAAACTAAGGAAGAGTTTTGGCGGAAATTATATAAAAGTGAAACATACTCAAACATTATATTTTGTAATATTAGTGCAATTTCTAAATAGAATTATTTCTATTGCTTTCCTTCAGAATATTTTTCGTACTAGATAATTGCATTGTTCGTAACATAATAAAGGGTAAATTCAATTGTAAAAGTTTACAAACAAGTCAAAAGTATTTGTAGGTCACTTTTAATATTTCATTCGCTAAATAAATACAGTAATAACTTAAGATCATATTATGAAATAGTGTTTTAATACAATTGACATAAATTAATTTTAAAAAGATATAATTATATCGATAATGTTCAGTAAAGACAGTGTTAAACTACAGCCGAATTATATTACGAAGAAAATTGTGGAAAAAGAAGTCGTAAAAGCGTTACAAAAAGAAGGTATTAAAATTATCGTAACATTGATTGTATGTACGTCATTATAACAAGATTACACATAATTTATACTAGACGATAATTAATATTTAAAAGCGAGTGTTATTCTTTCAAATTTGATGTAATTATTTGGGGAAATAATGAAACGTTACGTATGCACATGAATTTTTTATTTTTAGAATATACATTAAACGCGGTTAATAGATACGGTGAAAATTTACTACACATTAGCGCAGCAAATGGGTGTCTTGACATTGCAAAAGAAATTTTACGAAAACAAGACTCTTGTCAAATTATTGATAGGAAGACTAAATTTGGTTGGACACCATTAATGTTAGCAATTCGTAATAGAGATGTTAAAACGGTGGAATATCTTTTAGAAAAAAATGCTAATGTAAATGAATCAACTTATCTTGGTAAATTCATTATATCTTATAAAGAAATTTATTCTGTACAAGAAATTTCATTGCAACATTAAGGGATTCATTTTTTTTTAATCTTTAGGCATGTCAGTTTTTGGTTTAGCTGCTGCTATAAACAAAGATATGTTTGAAACTGTATATAAAGCATGTCCATCAGCGCTATTAAATTCTATAAATGATGATATTACACCACTTTGTATTGCTGCTATGAAAAATGATAAGAATTTATTCTTTAGATTAATAGAATTAGGCTTTGATATTTCTAAAAACAGTAAGATATTGTTTTTTTAATTAATATAAATCGGGGTTTTTTAAATCGTTTATTTTTATTATTGTTGTTAAATTCTCCATAGATGAATATACTTCCATTATGATGAAACAATCAGCTATACCTGAAATAAAAAAATTAACAAAACATCTTGATATAGAAAATTATTGGAATGATACTTTAGATAATATTGTTGTAGAAAATGCATCAAATAGAGAGGACCATTTGCATTTTTTTAACTTCAATGGAATTGAAGAAAATTATTTAATAGGGAAAGTGGATTGTGTTCAAAATAAACATGATAATAGTAATATATCTCTTTTAAATGTTCCTATTGTACCAAAGTTTACATTTGACACTGCAGAATCTAATACTGACAAATGTCACAACAATATAATAACAAATTCAAACAAGTGTTTAAAATCTTGTACATTAAATTTAATGACAAATAAATTAGAATCTGCACAATGTAATTTAATTTCACCAACTTTGAGTTTTACTCTTAATGAAATTTTACCCATTTCTCCAAATACTATTAGCTTTAATATTGCAAGTGATGCAGAAGATAAACAATTAATTCAAAATCAAAGTGAAATTGTAACAACATATCCAAAAGATAACAAAGATTTAACTGAACAACCTTTACAGAGGTATATTAATATATTATACTATTTATAATATCTAACAAAATAAGAACATTGTTTTAATTAAATTGCATTGTTTGTAAAGATTGCAACATATTCGTCCACATGATTTAAATATTAAAAGTGAGGAAGAGGATCTTAATGCAACTCTTGAATATGTACCTGAATTTAGCCCTCTACGTTCACCAAATGTACCTCCAGATATAAATGATGAAAATGTATTTGGAGAAAGTACACCAACACCACCACGTTATAAAACACCTCCAAGAGGAATGATATTAAATTCAGAAGAAGCAAAAATGTTTGTTTTATTAAAACATTATGGATTGGGTCAACATGTGCCTATATTTCTACAACAGGAAGTAAATGCATTTCAAATGTATTTCAAATTAGAAGAAATTTTCTGTTATTTCTTATATTCTGATTTGCTGTTTTTGTGCAATTTATTTTAGATTGACATTGATTTGTTTATGATTCTTACTGATGAAGACTTAATTCAGATTGGTATAAAAAATGAAGTTGACAGGAAAGCTATATTACATGTTATAATGGATTATAATAACTCTAAACACTAAATTAAAGAATTATATAAAAATACATTTATTTTAATTTTTAATTATATTAAATTATACATTTTTATTTTATTTATTGTATTTTTTATATGAGATAATACTTTGTTAATAAGTTCAGCTTTTTTTGTTTTAGAATTATGTGGAATTGAATGCCTTTTTAGCCAATCACTTAAAACACTACTTTTTACTTGATCTAATTGGTTATTTCTTGCCATTGCTTCTACATTGA